CACACACACACACACACACACACACACACACACACACACACACACACACACACAGACAGACACACACAGACGCACAGACACAGACAGACACACAGACAGACACACAGACAGACACACAGACAGACACACGCACAGATGCACACGCACACAGAAACACACAGACACATACAGACACACACACACACAGACACACACACACACAGACAGACACACACAGACACACACACAGACACACGCAAACACACAAACACCTTTGAGTTGTAAGTCATGGTTTAATCTCCTGAACACATTATGCTGAACTCGGCTTATTTCTAAATTCTAAATGCTTTTGGTTATTTGTCAGACATTTACTCAAAGCTGCATACAGTAAGCCCTACTACAGGAACAATCACTGTAAAGAAATGTTTGACTTTTACTGAAAAAAAAAGTAAATATGCTTAACTGAGAGTTTCCTTACCATACAGTGAAAAAACCGTAAAGGTTCTAACATCGCAATATAGTTCATTTGACTGTAAAATACTGTCAAATTTATGGATAAACAGTAAAATGTCTTTCCCACAAGTCCCTGTGTAACACATTACATATATATTTTGTTTCTTTTTAATTATTGTAAATAGTAATGTACGTTAGAGGGTTTTGTGATGTTTTCTGTTATTTAGCCTTATTTTAATGTCATTTGTTATACTGATGTTTTTTTTTTTGTCTTTGGGTGTTGCACTATATGAGTTTGAGCCATGCTTTTTTTTAATCATTTGTCTTTCTATCACACCTCCTGTATCATCATGGTAGTCATCAGTGCATATTATGGTAAAAAAGCAGATTTTGATCATTTTTACAGGGTTTCTGTGGATCTTTAAAAGTCTCAATTCATCCTTCCACAAATTAAGGCCTGCGAAGGTCTTCAATCAGAGCATAAATCTTAAATTCATAAAGTCATGCCATTAAACTTACTCGGTACTTATGTTTTTCAAAACAAATGTCTAAACATCTTACATTTCTTGATACATTCTCAAAACAAGATAATTCTTGGACAGTGTATTTCTGTAAAAAAATAAATAAAAAAAGTGTATATATATATATATTAGGGCTGTGTATCACCAGCAAAGTCACGA